ATCTTGGATTATAACATAAAACATGTTTTTCAATATTCTTCTTTTAATTGTCATCATATTTTGTCTACCTAAATTTAATTTAATAACAATATTGCACTGAATTAATTAAAGTACCCCTTTTCTTAAAATGAATAAATTAATATGTCCAAGAATCTTTTGTCAGCTTTGGTACCATATTGCATGAAATGATCTCACTTCCTCCAGCCTTACTAATAAAATATTTGCCTTGTTGTGAAATTTCAATCTAAAAAGCATATTATTATATCATAAGAAAAATACCATTCATTTTTATCTTGAGAGATGCTTATTTAAACGTTTTCAAATTCTGATTTCATTAAGGCGATGTACTTCTTAGCATGCATTCTAACAAGTGATTTTCTAAAGTAAATGTTTAAAATTGTCATTTTGAGTGGACATAGGTTTTTCTGCTCTAATCTGGAAACAAACCTCCAGAAAAGTGGAAAAATGCTGAAACTAACTACTTTCAACTCTGTAGCATCCAAACAACCCTGAGAATTCACTATAGAACATGACAGAGGGTAGCACTGCCCTTGAATGCATCCCTACAAGCAGCAGCGCAACAAAACTCTGAAAAGTGATGGTTTTACAGAATCAGATTTTATAAAGAAAATCTGAACCTGGAAGCTGTGAGATAAAACACCTTCTTGTTTGGATACTATGTACTGCACTTTAGATTGTGATTTTGATAAATAAATCAGAAAAGTGTGATGTATGGTCACCATCCATGGTGAAGGGCAGTGTATTGCTAATACAGGAACAGATGGTTTCTAGCAGTGGGGTTTGTATACAGTGAAGCAAAGACAAACATAATTGAAAACAGAGAACGCTACAGTTCTTGCTGCATTTGTGGGATACTGTGCTGCATCAGATGTTCCTTCCTGCCTGTTACATGTGGTTTTAGTTATGAAACAGTAATCACTTGGGATAAACGTCACAGCTCCTTGAGTTTCTTTCAGTGTAAAATGTCACTAAAATGACTTTAGTTGGTGTATCATGAGACCAGGAAGTCAAGACCCAGCCAGCATGCCTAGGTGGGCCCCATGTGGGGACAAGGAGGGCAGACTATATGGGTCCCATATGGGTTTGTCCGCGGGTTCCACGATGGCCCCACATGGGTTTGCCCATGTAGGGCCAGAGCCCACATGGGCCCTGCATGGGCCCTATATGGTGGTGGCCCACATGGGTTTTGTCCAATTAGGGCCCATGCAGGGCCCATGTGGGCTGTGGCCCTACATGGGCAAACCCATGTGGGGCCATCGTGGAACCCGCGGACAAACCCATATGGGACCCATATAGTCTGCCCTCCTTGTCCCCACATGGGTCCCACCTAGGCATGCTGGCTGGGGACACTGCCTGTTCTCTTATTTTACCAAGGTTTGTCTACTATGTAGAGCAATCAGAAATAAGCTTCAAATTTGCCCTCAGTAATTCAACAGATACTATGATTAATACGCTGTGGAGGTTGAATACTTTTTAATTAAGTAATTTATAGTGTTACATGATTTTGACTTATCACATAAATAAACTTCTTCACATTATTTTAATTGCGTTTCTTATTTAATGGAAACACCACAGTTGTGAAATTGTGTTTTTTGACTGCATTTCCATTTGGAATGGACAACTTGTAAATGTTTATCCTTTTGATTGCTTTGTGTCTTGCTAGTATCTCATTTTTGTGTTTATATATCAATTAACCCTTCTGACCCCACTAGGGAACAAAGGTGTATAGAAAATGGTGTATGGATATCAATTAGCAATGTGTTTATGATCCAGTGCATGACAACTTCCAATTTCTTCCCAGGTTAGGAGCACACCATCTCCAGTTGAAATTGTGGTGGATTAAATCTCTTCTGTTCCTGTTGCTATGTGTATGAGATTAGTGATTCTCTTGTTTTACATTAGACGATATGGACTTGGTACAAATGTGTCTGGAGATTTGAGGACAAGGGAAGACGATGACTACACAATATGGCATTTACAGGAGAGGACCAGGGGTATGTCTGGACCAGTCGGAACCTCAGGCAGCAAAGCATTTACAACCAGTGGATGTGGATGACCAGGAGAAGTTGAAAGAAGCTTGAAAACTGAAAATAAGATCTGAAATTAAATCACAGCACAGCAACAAAATGTTCAGTCCTCAAATATGCAGTCAGCAAGCAAAGGTATATGTGTAGAGGAGTTGTAGTCATGCTGTGAATATGACCCCGACCCTATCCCTAACCATAAACCTAAAAATGCATTTGGTTACTCATGGATATGTCAAAGTAAGGAGAAAAAGATCCAGTCAGTCTAATGAGGCACACTGAGGAGATGTTGTTAATTAATATTGCTTTGTTGTTGGGAAATGTTCAAATGACTGCAGGCTTTAATGGGATTTAGCAGCAGTTGTTGTGAAGACATGTCAACTGCTGTAGGTTCTTCTGCAGGGAATGGTTCTATAATGTAGAACAGCATTGAGTAACATGAACCGTCTTAATTTTAACCAAATGTTTTCTATTTGTTTTGAAGCAGTCTATTGTAATCATGGTCAGTCTTTCCTAATTCTCCTCCTCTAATGACACAGCTGTCTGACACGCCCAGTCTGCTCTTTCAAACCAACACCTCAGGCTAAGTTTACATCGTGACATCTGTCATGATCCAGTTCATGCACTCAAAGCTCCAGCCAGCATGACAAAATTCACCTTGTTTCTGTTTCTAGTTGCTGGAACATCGATGGTCCAAGGTAAGAAACATCAAGGCAAGAAGCTGCCCTTCAACAGGGAGGCGGTTTATGTGTCAAAGGAAAAGGAAAATCTTAGGAATTACCTTCATGATTTGTTTGTTTTATGTGTGTTTGATATTCAATCTATCTGTGTGGCTTTCATCCTGGTCAAAGCAGAGGGAACCATCATTTCTAAAGGATGTCATTGAAGTTCTGCTACCTGGCTCACTTGCCTTTTGTGGATCTGAAAAAACTTTTTGACCCTTGAAATATTTTGTGTGGGATTCTGTAGCAGGATAAGCTTCTTTTGAGGGCTGCCTCGTACCTATGGGCCCAAAGCCAGAGCCGTTTTCTGTACTTTTTGCTGGTTGAAGTCCTTTGAGACAGCTCCTAGTTCTTGAACCTGTTTGTGGTGTTCATGGAAAGAATCTGAATTGAAGGTGTCTGGTTTGGGAACCTCAGGATTCTATCTTTGTTCTTTGCATATGATGTTTTGCTGCTGACTTCAGACAATTGTTCTGATATTGATATCAGATTTCCTAAGATAAATTAATTTTATTGTCAGACAAAGAATAAATCTAAGTAAATCCTGAAAGAAGCTTTCAAATGATGGAACAAGCTATCCAAACCAATCTGGCAACATGTGAAATAATTATGAATTAATCATGATTAATCATATTTTGGGAGAAACTTAGTACAATTTCAGAAGTCAGAGAAGGTCTAGAATCAAGAACTCTTTTAAAGGTCCTGCCTGACAACATGAAGTAGGGCAAAAAGCAACATTTCACATCCCAATCTAAAGAAATTCAACAACATATGAGAAGCAAAGTCACTGATATCTGATTTACTAAGATGTTTCTATGGATTTGGGACTCTAAAGAACCACACACAAGGAAAACATGGAACAGTTGAAAACCTTAAAATCAACACTTAAATTGTAGACATTTTATTTAAAGAACCTTGATGCAAGAGATTGAATATAGAGTGGAGTGGATACAGTGCCATAGAAATCTTGATTCATATTATTTATAAATATTTTGTTAGAGACCCTTACAAAAAAAATCCCATGAAAATCACATGTGAAAGTCAAATATGATCACATAAACTTTGACGTGTAAATGATGTGTGAATAATGTGGATCACATGTAGAAGCACAAATACTGTGATTTTGGAACGTTTCATGGTAAAATGGTGTGATTTTCATGGGATTTTTTTGTAAGGGAAAGAGCCTGTTCTTCAGATATTTAGATGTTTCATAAATCATGACGAGGATTTAATGTGAAAAACTGATTTATGTTTTCGCATCCACCTGAATAATGTGCAGTTGCGCCACTGGTCTGAAACCAGTGAGGCAACTGCACATTATTCAGGTAGATGCGAAAACATAAATCGGCGCCCCCCCGAGGCGACGCTGCGTGGAGTTATGTGCGAGAGGTGAAGGAGCGTGAGGCGCGCTAAACTGTATGGGACAACATAATCGACGCGTCGCCCCCTCTAGACGGGTTTTGGCGCCCCCCCTGGTGCTGCGCCCCTATGCGTTGCATACGCTGCATACCCACTTTTTGCGCCACTGGTCTGAAACAGAACCTGGCTGTGAGCCGAGTCAAACCCTGGAGTGGTAAGAAAACAAACAGCTCACACTTGTTTCAGTTGTTTTTAGAATCCCAGAGCAAATCACTCTAACAGGGTGAAGCTGAAACTAACTGGAACTCCACACTGACTGCTCATTGTCATAATCGATGTGGTTGAGGTGGTGAGGAAACGCAGGTAGACCCAGGTAAAATGAGAATGATGAATTTAATAATGTAGCTCACAGTCTTGAACAGGCAGCACGGAAGAAAGTTAGCACGCAGCTAATACCGGTAGCAACTGGATAACAGACATGTAAACGAGCTTAGGTCGATGCAGGACTTCACAGTTCAACTGCGTACGACCCATAAACAGACGTAGACTGACGGCACAGGGAAACAGTTACAAATGACGAGGATCTGACAAGGAACACAGACAACAGGTGGGGCTAAATACACACAGGGTAATCAGGGGGATACGACAAACCTGGGGAGCAATCAACAGGGAGGACAGAGACTCACAGGGAACAGGACTACACAGGGAAAACAGGACTGAACACAGAAGAACTCAAAAATAAACACACAGAAACACAGATCATGACACTCATATTGTATTGTTGGCAGCCAGTTGTGATATAACAGTGTTGGAACAAACTCAGTGATGAATCCAGGCCTCCATTAAGTCTAAATTTCCAAACATGAATTTGTTAGTTTGCAAAAGCCTCAAATACTCTGTGAGTTTTATTCCATCTGAATCTGGGAGTGAAAGGTTGGAAGTTAACTGTGTGTTTTCCTTAAACAGGGATCAGCTTGTTTGATTCTTTTCGTGGCAAAAGATGCTTAAATATGGTGGCATACAAAGACATTCACCCCACTGTCAGTGATTTCTTTTAAAAATCACTCACTGTGGGTCATCCACCCTTCCATCCATCCATCTTCTGCTTATCTCAGATAGAGTAACATGCCAAACATCCCCATCCTCAGTAACAATATCCAGTTCATTCTGGAAGTTTCCAAGGTCAGAAGATGTGAACAGCCCATTCATCAAGTGTCTTCCTCTCGTTTGGAAATTCCCAGGAAATTCCCACAAGGAAAGTCATGAGGTTAAAGAATTTCAGCCACTTCAATCAAGTATTTCCTTTTCTGGATCATGATCCTCTTGCTTGTGACTATAGTTGAGGACCTGAATGCAAGCTGACTAATAACAGGAGAGGTTCGCCTTTGGATCAGTTTTTTTCTTTACATCAACATTTTAGGAATACTCACATAAAGGGTTATTCAGAGGTTTTCTGAATCTATAATAAATTCCTGTTTTCGTGGGTTTTATGAACTGGAAGACCAAATTATGTAAAAATAAACAAACAAATACTTGAAACTGTTCAAAACTGTGGACCCTGACTCTATAACCTATGAAAGTTTAACTTTTTGAAGCCACCCTGAGGAGGAAACCCATTTCGGCCGCTTGTATCTGTGATCTCGTTCTTTCGGTCATGACCCAAAGCTCATTACCATAGATGAGGGTGGGAACGTAGATCGACCGGTAAATCGAGAGCTTCGCTTTATGACTCGGCTCTCTCTTCACCACGACGGACCGGTACAGACGCTGCACCAATCCGCCTGTCGATCTCCTGCTCCATTTTACCCTCATTGGTGAACAAGATCCTGAGATACTTAAACTCCAACTTTTCCCATGATATTCTAATTTTTTAGAAAGACTTTGGAAACTCATCATAGGCACCTGCAATCTACATAAAATCCTCTGGTAGTTGGCAGTTCTTAGTATTGCAACCAAATTTTATTGAACTGCAATGTTATGCTCACAACAATTTAGCAATGTGACAC